CAGTGTGTGCAAACCTGCTGAAAAACTACAGGAAACATTTGACCTCTGTAATTGCAAACAAAGGCTACTGTACCAAATATTAACATTGATTTTCTCAGGTGTTCAAATACTTATTTGCAGCTGTATCATACAAATAAATATGGATTTTTTTTTTTTTAGATTCTGTCTCTCACAGTGGACATGCACCTACGATGACAATTTCAGACCCCTCCATGATTTCTAAGTGGGAGAACTTGCAAAATAGCAGGGTGTTCAAATACTTATTTTCCTCACTGTATCTCCAATGTCAATCAAGTAGGAACCTCCAGGTCTAATAAAGTGAAGCCATGCGGACGTAATTTAAACCTTCATTAACAGCCAGCAGGGGGCGACTCCTCTGGTAGCAAAAAGAAGTCTGGTTCCATTATAAATAGTTTAACAGTGGGGCTGATTTATCACCTCAGTAAACACTTTCATAATGAGTTTATGGTGTCAGACATTAGTTTTAAATCTTTAGTAAAAACGTACTGCTGATAGAGAAAGACAGGACTGAGACACTGAAGTTCAGGCATTAGGCTAGCAGATAACGGTGTTCTCTGGGAATCTAATATGTCTACAGAACTCACTGTCTCCACAGATTAAAGTGCAAATACATAAAACCATTAGATTTCAACGTTGCATTGAAGTGTAAACATCAACAGCTTTAGACCAGTTAAAGACAACCTTGTAGGGAAATGCAGAGAAATAAATATCGTGGACAGGAACGTTTCATCAGATTTGTGTTCGTAGTCTGTATGCTGTTAACAGTCTTCCCTGACCGGGCTACATAAACAATACTGTGTAAGTCTTAATGAGTCTCCAAGAACTTCTTCATCACACCTGCCTCACTTTATTTTCCTTACAGTACTTTCTTGAGTATTCCCATTCTCTGTTAATTTATTCTTTTACTATCAGATATAACAGAGAAACTCTGACAGGAACATTTTACTGCACTGTGAGTACTTTTACTGTCATACTGTAAGTACATGTTGCTGATAATACTCACATACTTTTACTGAAGGAAGGTTTGAATGCAGGACTTTTACTCGCAGTGGAGTATTTTCACAGAGTGGTATTAGTACTTTTACTGCAGTAAAGGCAGTTTACAGTGAGAATAAGCAGTAAAGTGTACAAACCTGCTCCAGGCTTGAAAACAGCGTCCAGTAGTTTGCGTTGTCCACAAAGTTCCTCCTCGTTCTCCACTTTAGACATTTTTACTGATTCACAGCAGCTTTTCCTCCAGACTGTTTCCAGCTAGCAAGCTAAGCTAACTGCATTAGCTTCGTAGGACACGGGAGATAATTCAGATGTTAAACATGTTCAGATAAAGGGAACAGCACAGAGTCTATTCAGACAGCTCTATCTGGACATTTGGACATTTGGGCTCCGTGAAAAACACAGTTTGGTCTCTATGGAAGCTGCTCCGACTGTGAGGCCGAGCTCCGGCTCCGGCTACTTCCTGCTAACAAGCTAACTCCTTTAGCATTCTTGGCTAACAGGAGATGAGTCTGAGGTGAAACATCCCGAAAGTTTAAACAGAGTCCACTTAAACACGTTGATCCTCACATGCAGGCTCTGCTGCTGAACTCCGGCTGCATCTTACGGTAACGGAAAAGTTAGCATGTTAGCAACCGGAAGTAATGTTACACCTACTACAACTTTTTTGCTGATTTTCAAAATAAATGTGACCAAAGGGAAGAAATACCTAGATCCTCAAATTAAGTAAATATACCACTAAGTATAATAAAAGTAAAATACACAAAACTTAATGTCAGAAAAAAAACATTATTATACATATGAATGTAAAAATTAGTACAATTAGATGTGAAATACTAACAGTAAAGTGAGGTGAGCTTTAGTCTTTGGGTTAAGTGTGTGAGACATGGATGTGGAGGTATTATCTCTTCACTCTGTGGTCCCATCTGCCAGGCAGTAGAGGAGAAGTGTAAAGCTGATGATACATGGAGCAACTTTTAGAGCAATGGTGCTGGGCAATGTTCCTGTCAATGGTAATGAGTAAAGATTACTACCGTAATCACCCTCCCCGCACCAACACTGTCCGTTCAAAACATAGTCGGACTTGCCACCAGCAACATTGCTCAAAAAGTTGCCCCGTGTATCATCAGTTTAATTTATAAATCTGAAGTACCTTATATCATCCTGGGCCCAAAGAAACCCTCTATCACAGGATGAAATGACTACAGGACATGGCCTTGAATTCTGTGGTCAGGAAATCCTGTGAGAGACTGGTGTTGACTCACCTGAAGGACTTCACAGGCCTGCTGGACCCCTTAAAAGTTTTCCCACCAAGCAAACAGGCCAGAATCAGAATCCAAAGCCAGGTATGTGTACACATATGAGGAATCTGACTCCATCTGCCTCGACCGGGAACTACTGTGTACAGAGACACACAAACATGAACTAAACCATAACATTCACAAACAGTGAATAAAATCAATAAATAATCAATAACAAATAAACTCTCAGGTCAATCTGCAGAAAATTAACAGATAAAAGAGCAGAAATAGAAACCAACTGAAGGCCACAATCCCGACAGGTCAAAATCTGTTCACATTAACACCTCAACAAACCCTAAAACCTGCGAAAAGACATCACAACATCTTTTAGCAACTGTGAATCCACCCCCGAATAAATCCTCTTAAACATTACTAAATTATAGTCTTTTCTGCATTTTACTGAACTATTAATCTAGAAAGGCAGATTTAACACTGTTAGTAGTGTCTGTTATAAGGTCCTAAAGTTTCTCCAACTGATCCTCGCACAGAAACTAATAAACGACTCAAACATCAACAGAAATGTTGAATTTCCCTGTTCCTGAATGTAGTTCAGTGAAACATCCAGTGCACATCCGGCAAAACATCATCCTACAGGCCATGAAGGAGGTTTTCCTGCTGTATTTATGTTTTATGCTGCTGAATTATGTTTCTCATGTGGTAGAGAATAAACACATGTTAAGTATAGATTTCTGCGTGCATTAGGCTAAATGTGTACAAGTGATCCTATATTAGAAATAGCACGTAGAGATAAAATTTTCACTTTGGTCTGTTGATGGAAATGAAATAGCTATTTCCCCCCCAGGTCACTAACATTAGCTACTTAGAATAATCAAAGCTAGGCTACAAAACTTATGCTACACTGTTTGGTACTGAGTGAGCAGAAGCAGCAGCTGACTCCTCACTTTGTTCTTGCTCTTCTTTCAGCCTTTAGTTTTAAGCATAGATAAATATTTATTAATCCTTTCGGAATTCAACAAGACAACTGCTTTCCCAACACAAACATCACCTGAATGCTATACAAGTTATACTAAGGTGCAGCTCCCCAACACCCAGAGATTCAGCTCTCTTTTATTATCTCTTTATTTGTTAAGAAATCCAATACTAGTAGGTCCAGTTTGATCATTTTCAATAAATGCTACAGATGATCTATAAATTACTTACTGATCCATAAATAGTTGGTTGCCCAAATTAAAAACCGCCATATAAAACATTTCACATTTTATTAAAAAAAATCTAATTGTTTACAAAACATTTACAATGAATTCACATTATTGATCAACAGAAAATCAAGAAAAATAACACTTGATTTGGAAAACAAGTCAAAGTATTTTTCATTAACTGGATGATTTCTGACTAAAAGAAGACATTACAGACTCGCTGCAATGAGCTGGTAGGGAGGAGATGTGCTGCATAATGTTTGATAATGACAAGGTATCATCTTCTTATTTCTTACAAATGAATCGCAGATGTTCATTTAAGTAAATGTCTTTTTTCTACAAAACTCCCTCTTTATGTTTCCACAGACTGGGTTTCCTTGCTGAGGCCGGGCGGAGGGATCTGTCTCGTAGTCACTTGGGACAAAGATACCCAGTTGAAGAATGATTACAGCAACCATCAACTCTTTCAACATACATATGGTATCCGAGTACTGTCTGGAAACAGGCTGGAAAAATCTGAACCTCTGCTTTAAAGGTAACTGCGTAAATCCAACACATAAGCTGTCTAATTTTCACGCCCCCTTAGTTACTGTTGCTAAGTTGACAAACTGTCAGGCCTGTCGCACTTTAAGCACGGCGCTGCCACTGTTTATTACTGCACTCCCCGGAGAAATATTGTAGCTAACGTTAGCTAACTAACATCACATTGGGAACAATCCACAGCCGACATTTTCCTGGATTTGTTTTAGGTTTTGGAAAGAGAATAAATCGTACTTCTCCTTTCAACCTCTCTGGGTAGCTGCTGTAACTATTACAAGTGCCTCAGGAACAGCGTTTGACCATATCTTGGAAAATACAGCTAAAAAAAAAGCTAGAAAACGAGTCAATGGAGCGCAGATGTGAAAGTGTCCGACCTCAGTTGGAGCGAGTCCTATACTGAGCTGTGATCGGCCAGCTACGTTTTTGGGGTGTGGCTTAGTGAAGGGTCGCTTCCACATAATGTTGGACTGTTAATACAACCACATCTGTGCATAATATTTTGGAAAATCTAGAGCACATTTGTAATAAACTACACCTCAAAAACTGAACTTACTAAAGAATTCTACTGGGGAGGAATTACCATTAGATCTGGGGAAAGTCATTTGGTTAATTTTGATGCTCTACCCAATGATTTTACATTCATGGCACAGCACCAAGCTAATAATAGAACATAATTGTGCTTTTTGATGTGAGAGCGCAGAGTGAATTTTAATCTCAGACTAAAAAGCTGAGGGGTTTCTACTAGGGGTGGGAATCACCAGAGGCCCCATGATGTAATTTCGAAATACAATATTATTAGTATTTTAAACATATTCCGATATATTGCAATTAATTACCAACTTTATCCAACTTCAAATTATGCCCCATAGGAAAACTTTGTCAACGTCGGTTTTATCTAAAAAAATAAATTTCGTTAATAATAATAGTTTGTTCCTCTCACTTTTTCAGCCCACTATATGGCGCTGTTGAGTTTTCTAGTGGACTGAAAATTCTAGTACCAAAAAGTTGAATTCTCATGTTCAATTGATATTATGAAAGATCAATCCTTGCCGTCCGTGTATCGATACAGTATTGCCACGGAAAATATCGTAATACTATGCGGTCTCAATTTGTCCCCACACCCCTAGTCTATACCCAGTATGCATTCTCTTGTTTTGGAACAAATTGCTTCTGAAACTTGTTTTACAAACTGGCCAGCTGGTCTTTCTCCTGTATGAACTCTTTAGTGTCTAATCAAACCTGAGCTTACTTTTAATCCTTCCCCACAGACAGAACTGCTGTGTGGACAGTCAAGTGGCGTCTAAGCTGTATCTTTTGTCCAAATCCTTTTCCACAGACAGAACAACTAAATGGTTTCTCCCCTGTGTGGGTTCTCATGTGTTGGAACAAATCACCTCTGCGCCTGAAACCTGTTTTACAAACTGAGCAACTGAAAGGTTTTTCTCCTGTATGAACTCTTAAATGTGTGGTCAGAGCTGAGCTTTGTGTGAATCTTCTACCACAGACAGAACAACTAAATGGCTTCTCCCCTGTGTGGACTCTCATGTGTTGTCTCAGATGTTCCTTTTGTGAAAATCCTTTACCACAAACTGAACAAGTGAAAGGTTTCTCCCCTGTGTGGATTCTCATGTGCCTCATACCAGTATCTCTCCGTTGAAAAGTCTTTTTACAAACTGAGCAGCGGAAATGTTTTCTTTCTGAATGAAGTTTCATGTGACTACTTAAGGAGTTCTTCCAGAGGAATCTTTTACCACAAACTGAGCAACTAAATGGCTTCTCTCCGGTTTGGAGTCCATTATGTTCCTGTAGATGTTCCTCGTTACCAAAGCTTGTAGCACATTCAGCATGTTTCTTTATCTCCTCCCAATCAAAACTGTCATCAGACTCAGGTTCAGAGGAGTGTGAAGTCTTATCATGAGTATCTGGTTGTAAATGTCTATCTGGATCAGAGTTCCTGGCTGGTTCTGGTCCTCCACAGTCCTCCTCATCACCTTCTATTTTGATCAGTTGAGTTAGTCTTTGATGAAGCTGTGAGGACTGAGGTTTCTCTTCATTGTCTTCTTCACTCTTCACCGGGACAGGAGTGAATGTGAACTTGGTGGTATCAGCCTCTTCCATCCCTCGAAGCTGCTCTCCCTCCTGACTGATCCAGAGTTCCTCCTTTTCTTCTTTAATGTGTGAGGGCTCTGGTGGGTCCTCCTGGTCCAGACTGGGGCTCCACTCATCTTTAACATGTGGGGGCTCTGGTGGGTCCTCCTGGTCCAGACTGGGGCTCCACTCATCTTTAACATGTGGGGGCTCTGGTGGGTCCTCCTGGTCCAGACTGGGGCTCCACTCCTGCTGGTCAGGGGAAACCTCTTCTTTACTCACCAACAGCAGCTGGACGTCTGTGGAGAATAACAGATAAATACACACGTTGAGAAAACCCTAACTTCCTGGGAACATTTAAACCACTAACAACACTACTTTCCTAAACGTAGGGCTGTCCTCTAGTAGTTGACTGAACCATTTTTAGTCAATGAGGAGTCTTAGACATAGGGCTGGACAATAAAACAATTTTTTTTGCAATATAATTGTTTTCAATAACAATATAAACAAATGTTCAATAAATGTTTGACTTTATTCACTTTAATTATACACAAATTAGGACTTTTTTTTATTAAGATGTTTATTTCGTGAGGGGAAAAAAGCTTTTATTTAATTTGACTCCTGCATATTTGTTGACAAAGATTTGATCATAATGTTCTAACTCAGATTTGTGAAGTGATCCACTGTTTAGCATCTAGTGTTGACCATAATTTAGAGTTTAAACCACAATTAACCATCATGTTTCTTCAACTTCCACTCAGGATCAAAAATCAGCCTTTAAACTCAAAAAAAATGAAACGATAGATAGATAGATAGATAGCAGTACCGAAGTGAGGTACAGCGGCTCCAACCAGGACCCTGACTCCACCGTATGCTGTGAGAGTAATCAAGTGGACTCTCCCGTGTGAGTCGCAGACAGTTTGAGACAGAGTAGTAACATAATAGGTGGAGTTTTGCAATATAAACATCTAAAATCTGGGGAGCAAATGGTGATGCAACGATTACAGATTTTGTTGGTCCGATTATAGTCTGAGGAATAATCACTGTTTCACGATTATCACCATTATTATTAATAACACTAGTAATGACTTAAACTGATTTTTAATACCCAATTACATTAACAATTATATTTCTATAATATGTAAATATTACTAATATAAGAGGAATATTACCTTCATTGATCCCCCAGGGGAAATTTTTAAGGAGGGTATAAACCGAACTGTTATTGTCATCAACTCTCACCCATACATATAAGTGTTAGAGAAATTAAGAATCTCTCTCATGCAGTCTTATTAATAACTGAAATGCAGGTAATTGGTAGTCCTGGAAATCTATAAGCTCCTGATGTTACTTTTTTACACCTGGCAACATTTTCTCAGCACAGACAGGAAAAGGCAACAGGATGTAACGTTAAAGGTCAATGTTCAGTCTGCAGAGGACTACGTTCTTCCATAAAGGCCCTTTCAGAAAAGAAGCCATTTGCTGCATTATATTCTGTTTTGAACGGTCATCTGCCACCTGAAGTTTGTGCTTCCCTTACATAAATAAAACATTTTGATGTATGGTGCAAAAGGCAGAAATTGGTGCAAAACAATTAAGTTTTCAAGTCAGCATTGTAGATTTCTTAAAAGTAGTGTTAAAATCTCGTCTTGATATTGTGAACCGAATATCATGTCTCGTCTCACCCCTGATAAAGATGTATTAAGAATTAAGATGCATCATTTTATATCCACGGCACTGCTGCTGACCAAAATTTCTGCCATTAACAGTTAGTTTGTTAGCTCATTTAGCAATCTTATTAGCACATTCAGATTCTGCTTGTCGTTAACGGGCAGCTTCCTTTGTGTCCTTGTAAAATGTATATTTAAAGGCTCAATATTACGGTTTTGTATTTCTTTGTAATGAAGCACAGTGTTTCAACATCCTATCTCAGCCTGGAACGCAAACCATTTTCTGATGCCCCAAAATATATATTAATTACAGTAATAGTGTAAATATGCAACGACTTGTCGCCTGATGGCTTGAACTTATGACCAGGATGTCATGGTTAGTGGGCAGCCCTACTTAGACGAGTGGAAAACTGATGCACCTTTTATGGAACGTATTGGGAAGTCATTCAAACTCAAACTACAATCTTATCACGGTTCTACAGATGTGGTGAAGCTGTACTGCAGTAGGGCTGCAACGATTAGTCGACGTAATCGACGACTTCGATTATAAAAATTTGTCGACGCATCGGGAAAGAGAGGCTGTTTAAGGGAGAGATAGTAATCTATTTATTAAGAACATTTCTGGTTGTTCATTTGTAACTGCAATGAAGTGCTGGGGTCAGTATTACTTCCATTGCATGCCACGACTGCTTGACTGTAAGACTACTCGTGAAGAAGAAGCTTTCATACGAGAGCTGATAGCAACAGAGATAGAGGCGAAAAGCAGAGCGGTTTTGTTTTAAGTTGTGTACGCTATTTCATCACTAGGAGAGACATCAACTGTGTAGAATTTGAATATGGCAGTTTTACAAAATTGATAGGCGAATCGAATGTGTGCTCAAACGTCTTCGGGGTTGAGAAGCCCTGCAGGTGACTGCGAGGTTGGCGGACACTGGCTGGCCAGTCACGCCCTCTGGTCCCAGTTAGACCACTGCAGCATCAACGACAGAAGAAAGGCCACCACTGTAAAACAGTTTCAATGTTCATACCTCTGTTATTCTGTCTTTACAATCTGAGTAACGATTGAACATTTTTAAGTAAATCAAGAAACATCTTGCTCGTGATGTAGCCTACAGAACATTTCTCTGCTCAAAAAACTTATAAGCACTTTGGAAAAATAAACCTCAGAAGTGGTATGAAATGGGACTGTGGCTTTATTATTCTATATATATAGACATTGTTAGTGTACAGATGTGGTTATAGTACCTGCTTTTAATGTGCTTTTATTTTATATAGTTCCAGAGCAAAAATCTTTGTTAAAAGTTTTAAAGTTAAACCTACATGGCAATAAATCAGATGGTGAGCTTATTGTTCTGGGTGATGAAACCTGGCTGTTATCTTGGAGCAGCCTCTCCATAGTTCTTTGAATTCTTGGTTTTGAGGTCTCAGGGATGATGCTGGCTAAGAGAACGCTCTTTTAGTTGTGTTAGCAAACACCTTAAGTGTAATAGTAATTATAGGAGTGGCCTGAGCTGTCTTGTCTTCTTCCCTATTTCCCCCTGTTGTTGATACTAGTGTTCATTCTGAATAGTAAACCTTGTTCACTTAATGGTAACGTTAGTGAGTTAGGCCGAGTGTTGGAGAGCAGTAATTCATCTGAAAGATATTTAATTAGTTAAATAGTTTATTTAGGGTTGGGTGGTGACAAGAATAATAGTGACTAGTCGACTAATCAAATAAATAATTAAGTAATAAATAATTAACAGAGTAGTTGACTATGAAAATAATTATCAGTTGTAGCCCTATACTGCAGTGATTTTTAATTTTAATTTTATTAACAGATTCCAATTTTTAAACATCAGATGTACGTCCGTTTTGTGCCATTTATAGAAATTGTGATTTTCCCTACCATTTAAGTGTTTTTGTCCACAGCACCAAACCATATTAACTGTCCTGTGTTGGTGTTTCAGCGAGGACGAGGCTCAGCTGCTCTTTAACAATGCAGCAAAGCATTCACTGTGAATCCTCTCCATAAATAATTGCACACACATTTGAATATTTCTATGTGCACATTTGCACGATATATCAAATTCATTGATATTGGTTCAATATCTGATGACAAAATGTGTTTAGATTTTAAGACACAGAATTCAGAAACATTAAAACAGTGAACTGTTCTAACGAATTTCAGGGCCCTAAATACAGAAGCATTTTAAGTTTTGAGTAAAGTGGACTACTTAAGGTCTGTTATTGTTATTTATATCATAACAACACTGACATTGTTTCCCACACTAGGAGTGCGTCTCAATTCCCTTATTTTGATTCACTTTTATTATGGAGACAAAGTCAGAGTCTGTTTGTCAACAACAAACTGTTTACATCATTTATCCTGATTTCTATTCAGTCACATGAGGCTGATCGTTCCTCACAAGTCACTTAACTGCACTAATCTGTAATGCAATAGTAAGTCTCTTTGGATAAAAGGGTCAGCTATATGACAAAATTATTATTATATAATAACTACATTAAAAAAACAGCTCAAACCGCAGGAATGGGAAAACGGAAAATTTCAAGTGGCTTCTGACTTTCGAACTGAAGAAAACTCTTGGATGAGAGAAACATCATCAAGTATCTTCTAGGGTTGAGCCGACAGACGGTGATGGCTGACATGACAGACGCCGCCCTGTGAAAGTAGGTTTTAATACCCGCGAACATCATCATTATTATTTTTAAATCTCAAAAGACTTCTCTTCCCCTCACACACACCTTCAACTCTGGCATCTCACTGCAAACACACCGCCTTTATCTTTCTCTCTCTGCTCCCTGGAGTTTCTGCATCAGCAGCATATTTTATAAACTCACCCAAAAGACACAGAACTCATCTTTTTTAATGGAGTTTTCCCCTTTGATTCGTTTTCCCAGCAGCAGGTGAGACTGTCCTTTATGATAAAGATCATAGTTAGGGTTGACTCAGGTGAGTCCTGAACCAGCCCTTAGTTATGCTGCTTATAATGCAATGCTGTAGATGAAGGGAGCCATAAAGGAGTTAAAATGAGCTGCAGCAGTAAAATTCAGCATTAATGCAGCAGGAATATTAATCCAGAAACATCAGATATAACAGAGAAACTCTGACAGGAACATTTTACTGCACTGTGAGTACTTTTACTGTCATACTGTAAGTACATGTTGCTGATAATACTCACATACTTTTACTGAAGGAAGGTTTGAATGCAGGACTTTTACTCGCAGTGGAGTATTTTCACAGAGTGGTATTAGTACTTTTACTGCAGTAAAGGCAGTTTCCAGCGAGAATAAGCAGTAAAGTGTACAAACCTGCTCCAGGCTTGAAAACAGCGTCCAGTAGTTTGCGTTGTCCACAAAGTTCCTCCTCGTTCTCCACTTTAGACATTTTTACTGATTCACAGCAGCTTTTCCTCCAGACTGTTTCCAGCTAGCAAGCTAAGCTAACTGCATTAGCTTCGTAGGACACCGGGAGATAATTCAGATGTTAAACATGTTCAGATAAAGGGAACAGCACAGAGTCTATTCAGACAGCTCTATCTGGACATTTGGACATTTGGGCTCCGTGAAAAATACAGTTTGGTCTCTATGGAAGCTGCTCCGACTGTGAGGCCGAGCTCCGGCTCCGGCTACTTCCTGCTAACAAGCTAACTTCCTTTAGCATTCTTGGCTAACAGGAGATGAGTCTGAGGTGAAACATCCCGAAAGTTTAAACAGAGTCCACTTAAACACGTTGATCCTCACATGCAGGCTCTGCTGCTGAACTCCGGCTGCATCTCACGGTAACGTGAAGGAAAAGTTAGCATGTTAGCCACCGGAAGTATAATTGCTTCCTGTACCCATTTTGTGCTATTTTCCAAAATAAAACTGTTTAAAATGATCAACGGTAGCAAAACCCCAGATTCTTTACTGAAGTAATCAAAGAACCCCAAACACTACAACAACTACTTTTAGCTTATTTTTCAGACACCTTATCAATACTAATAAAGGCAAATAGTACTAAATAAATAATGGTGGGTTAAGAATCGTGATCTGACTTTATTTAAATAATGGTGATTATACACCAATTATAAAATAACTAAATGAAAACCTAATAGTGTAATTGTTAATTGTTGGTTTCACACATTACACAGGGAGGGACAACCATCACCATGGTTTATTGCAACAACACCCCAAAAAAGTCAAAATTAGTTTGTTTAAAACCAGATTTCAATAAATACATTCTGTGTGTAGTACATTTTGTTGGATTAGAAGATTCCAAGATTCCAGTTAAATTTCAGTTTCATATTCCTGTTAGAGTCATGGCAGGATGTGTAATTGCTCAGCTAACTTTATCTTCGACTGTATCACTTCCAGATGATCTAACTTTCGGCTTTTGTATCAGATTTCAGCAGCACCACAACCGTGTATGAAGGTTACAGTAACCCGTGTATCTCACACATTCGACAACCATCAATAGATTCCTGATCTACAGACATCGGATTGTAAAGATGTACAGAAGACATCAGCAGATTACACATAGATATAGACAGTTTGTTAAAGACTCACAGCACAAGGAAGGAAATGTGACGTGAAAACACAGCTGACTGCTGATTGGTCAGAGAGAATCGTCACTATTCACTGCATCATCATTGCACCAGACAGAGGCCTGCAAGAGAAAGTTTTATATATTACAGTTTTCATATGTTATTTCATCACCAAATCCACTTCTGAGAAGTTTTGAGGTGAAATCAGCTGTATAGATTTACAATATTCACAGTTTTATGAGAAGTGATGGCTGAACAAAAATGTGCTTGAATATTTTCGGAGTGGCTGCGGGGGAAGCCTGCTGTGACCCGCGGGAGGAGCGTGTGAGGCCGGCCAGCCGCCCGCTCACAGAGCCCTCTGCTCCCGCCGTCACACAGACCGCTGCAGCAACAACGGCAGAGGAAAACACAGCTGGAAGGTTTTCATACCGCTTATCTGTCTTTACATTCTGAGGAACGTTGAAAAGTTTTAGCTTAAAAAAGAGAAAGCTGTGTGGATCACAGGTGTGTGTGTCGCATTGAACGTTACGTCTCGGCGGTTGTGTGGCGTTTTTATGGAGTAATATCTCTAGGTACTATCTGCAATGGAAAACGGAGCACGGCCAAACCGAGTCGAGGCGAGCTGGTACTGGTAATGGAAAAGCTCCATAAATCAACAGATTTAGGGGATGAGAGAGCTGTTACTGTCTGTTGGTCTACACCAGTCTTCACTTCAGCTGAATCAAACAGAGAAAAGCATGGGCTCTGGTTTGTGAGGAAAACAAAAGGAGCCACACAAGTGAAGTGATTCGGTGTAGAGAAGTAGAGACGTGTGCTGAGGCAGAGTGAAGTCTTCTTCATCATTGTTTCTTCTTTATCTGAACACCCCAAAAGTGATGCTGCACTGTGTGTTTAATGTGTGTTGGACTCAATAAAGTTCAACATGACGCTCTGTCTTTCTTTATGAAGTTGATGCACTGTAACAATAAATGTAATTCATAAACCCTTTAGAACAACACAATTAAAACTTGCACAACATCACAATGCATGATAATACCAAACATTCAACCCAAAGCAGATCAAATTATTAATTACTCTGTATGTAAGCCAAATGTATAACAAACCAACATAGTTACCTGAGAGCAGTAGCTAAAGACGACAAGAAGCAGCAAAAAGTGCTCATAGATCTTAGGGTATGGATGAAGATTATTCCAGTCACATGGTGCTTTATATTGAAATGATTTCCGTCCGGCTACAGTAAAAGTTCTTGGTACAATAAAGAAGGGATGTTGCATCTGTCTGAGTGGAGAAGGATCTCTACAAGGAACTAAAAATTGTTTCAAGTATGGAGGACAGTTAAAGTGAACACATTTGAAAATAAACTTTATCCAGTGAAATTCCCTTCTTGCTTCAGGCTGTGACTCATTCATAGTGCAGTGATGAGTGTTAAATGGACACCTCATGACAAATCTACAAAGACAATTAAAAACAACATTAAGAGGCCTAAGATTGGTGTCAGTGGTTTTCATATAGATGATATCAGCATAATCAATAATCGGCAGTATCAACTGATTAATAATTATTTTCCTGATCGGTAAAGAGAACTTCAACAGCCATAGATTTTTTTTGTAATGCAGTCAATATGCAATTTGAAATTGAGTTCAGGGTCTATCCAAAAGCCAAGATATTTAAAAGAATCCACTTCATCCATGAGAGACCCATCCTCAAAGGTAATATGCATATGGAAAGTACTAAGACGATTACGCCTTGTTCCGAACAACATATTACGAGACTTCTTTTTATTTGTAACCAATTTATTCATGTGAAGCCAGTTTTGTATCAAATTGAAATCTGCTTGTAAGGAATTCTATATTTATAATATATCTGAGTTGTAACTAACTGTATCATCAGCATACAGATGCACTGAGCAATTTTTACAGATTTTTGATAAATCATTGATGAAAATAGAAAAAAGGAGGGGTCCCAAAGTGGATCCTTGGGGTAATCTGACTGGGAACCGTGGAAAACAACACACTGATGCCTCCCATGAAGATAAGCATTAAACCAGAGTAGAACATTTTGATGCACTAGCAATGAGTAAAGGATCCGAAATAATGGCATCATCAATTTGAATTTGATTTACCGTGTTTTTGTTATTTTGTGAGCTGATCTATGGCAGTTGTCTACCTTTGACTTAAGGGAGCATGTTTTACGTTAGTGACCTCAGAATAGAAAAATTCCATGCATCTTCAACATATGGAATTATCTGAAACCTATCCCAATTGATACAAATTATGTCTTGTATTAAATGATCAACTTTAATATTTTTACATTGTCTTAAATTAATATATTTGAGGGGAGATTTAGGGATTTTATTCACACAAAATATGATGGAATGGTCACTAAAACAGGCAGAACCCAGCGCCCTGAGATTTGTGATGCGACTGGCTGGCCTGCATTATCATCCAGGCAGAGCGCCTCTTCAACCCCTGTTCTTGGTAGGACACAGCCGTGGACAGCTGCGAAAGGGAGAGTTAGCAACAAACCTCTACAACAACTGAGTGTGCAACAGCAGAACAGATTTGTACAGATGCTGTAAACGATGTAAGAAGCATGTGCAGTAAGAACACCAAAATACTCTGCTTTCCAAAGGATACGGTGTCTGACTTGGCAGAAAGAGTCCTGCATATCGTGGCTGAACATCCTACTGTGAAAAACATCATACTGCACATCGGGGCCAATGATGTTGTGAAGCAACAGTCTGAAGTGTTGAAAGAGGATTTTAATAATCTGTTGAACATGGTCAGCTCTTTGAATCTGAGGTGTTTATCAGTGGCCCTATACCGCCAATCCGAAGAGGAGCTGAGAGATTCAGCAGACTGATGGCATTGAACATGTGGCTCTCAAAGGCATGTACTGTCCATTCAGTGCATTTCATCGAAAACTTTTACTTTCTGTGGGACCGCAGACATCTTTATAAGGCAGATGGACTTCGCCTTAACAAGTCAGGTAAAGTAAAATTGTTCAGCTCCAACCTGTTTTACTTTATGTGTCACTCATCTGTTCCCTCTGCCAAGGACAAGAGACAAGAGGAATCTAAACAAGAAGAAGACATAACACAACACGCCAGAAACCTTGAAGGAGAGCCACCTCAGCCCCCGCCGGAAGAGAGCTCTGATCACGGGAGACATCTGAGCCAAGAGGAAGAGTCTCCACCTCCCTCACTGAAAACCAACAGTGAGGATTCACCATCTCTACCCCCCCAATCCCCATCCAGGTCACCCTTATCTCCACACACCCTTTCTCCCCTCTCCCCCCTGTTGGACTTCACTGATCACATGGAAGACCTGGTTAGAGCTGGGAAAAAATTTACTCCCCGCACCTTCCCTTGCTCCACTCCCATTTTCTCTACCCTAAAACCCCCTCACCGTCCACCTCCACCACTGGTTCTAAGTCCCGGCTACAAGGAAAATAGCACTCACGACTCTTCCCAGGACAACCAGTGTGCTGGTAGTCCTCTCCATCCCTGTCTTGATAGGTAACAGAAAAAGCATGGTGAATGTGTTAAGAAACAGGAAGCACTCAACATATCCTGCAAGTTTAGCATTAATTCCTCGTCAGCCGCAGCCTGTCGAAAAAAGTGGGCCAGATAATGTTTTTAACACACTAAAATTAGCTTTGTTAAACGTTAGGTCTTTGGCAGGAAAAACATTTTTAATCAATGATTTTATAATCTCTCACAATCTTAATTTCATGTTTTTAACTGAAACTTGGTTGGACCAAGATAACAGTGCAGCTGTCCTTATCAAGTCTACCCCTCCCAACTTCAGTTTTATGAGTGAAGCTAGAGTGCATAAGAGAGGAGGTGGAGTTGCCATTTTGTTTAATGACTCCCTCCAATGCAAAAAGATGTCTTATGGGAATTTTGCTTCTTTTGAATATGTGGCTCTTCAGCTGAATGACATCTATAAAGAGAGACTTCGCATTTATAATTTAGAGCTGAGAAATGCAAGGCGGTCCTTCTTCTCTGACATCATCACTAAAAACACTAATAATGCACGTGCCCTGTTTGCTACTGTCGACAGGCTAACCAACCTTCCTGTGTCTGTAGCCTCTGAACTTCTATCCACCAGGGCCTGCAATGAATTTGCCTCCTTCTTCACAGACAAAATTCAAACAATTAGACAAGCAATCAGTGCCTCCATGTCAGTAACAGGATATGTCTTGTCTCTGTGTCCACTTAAAAACTATTCATATAGCATGAGACAATTTGATTCTATTAACCATAAAAACCTGGAGGACATAATACAACATCTGAAATCCTCCTCATGCTGCCTTGATATTCTGCCAACAGGTTTTTTCAAAAATGTGTCTAAATGCATGGCATCAGATTTACTACAAACTGTCAACATGTCTCTCCTCTCAGGTTTTTTCCCACAGGCCCTGAAAACTGCAGTCATTAAGCCTCTCTTAAAAAAGAGCAATCTACACAGTTCACTAATGAGCAATTATAGGCCCAAAAAAATCATTGAAAAGGCTGTTTTTCAACAGCTTAGTGCTTTCTTGGCACTAAATAACTGTTTTGATGTCTTCCAGTCAGGTTTTCGACCACACCACAGCACTGAGACGGCTCTTGTTAAGGTCTTCAATGACATCCATTTAAACACTGACAGTGGCAGAATTTCTGTCTTAGTATTATTGGATCTCAGTGCTGCATTCGACACGGTCGACCACAACATATTACTAGACAGACTTGTGAACTGGGTTGGACTTTCTGGCACAGTACTAAAATGGTTTGAATCCTACTTAAAGGACAGGGACTACTTTGTGTCTATAGGTAATCACACATCTGAGCTGACAAAAATGACATGTGGAGTTCCCCAAGGCTCCATTCTGGGACCTCTTTTGTTTAACATTTACATGCTTCCACTGGCTCAGATTATGAAAAACAACAAAACATGTTACCATAATTATGCAGATGACACACAGATTTACATAACCATTTTACCAGGGGACAATGATCCCATACAGGCACTGAGTAACTGTATTGAGCAGGTCAACGATTGGATGTGCCAGAATTTTCTTCAATTAAACAAGGATAAAACTGAAGTTATTGTTTTTGGAGCCAGGGAGGGACAATTGGAAGTCAGTGCTCGACTTCAATCTCTAATGTTAAGAACCACAAATCAAGCCAGAAGTCTTGGTGTGGTCATGGACTCAGACCTGAATTTGAGGAGCCATATTAAGACAATTACAAATTCAGCCTATCACCTGGAGAATATATCAAGGATTAAAGGACTTATGTCTCAGCAGGACCTGGAAAAGCTTATCCATGCATTTATCTTCAGTCGACTCGACTACTGTAACAGTGTCTTTACAGGGCTCCCTAAGAAATCCATCAGACAGCTGCAGCTGATTCAGAACGCTGCTGCTCGAGTCCTCACTAAGACCAAAAAGGTGGATCACATCACTCCAGTTCTGAGGTCTTTACATTGGCTTCCTGTATGTCAAAGAATTGATTTCAAAATCCTGCTGTTAGTTTATAAAGCACTAAATGGTTTAGGGCCAAATTACATTTCTGATCTTCTGCTTCGTTATGAACCATCCAGACCTCTCAGGTCGTCTGGGACCAGGTCTGCTTTCTGTCCCCAGAGAGAGTCAAAACTAAACAAGGAGAAGCAGCGTTCAGTTATTATGCTCCGTATATGTGGAACAAACTCCCAGATAACTGCAGTTCTTTTAAATTAAGACTGAAGACTTTTCTTTTTACCATTGCTTTTAATTAAATATTTATTGATAACTTACACTGCACTGTAACTTTTGCTGTCCTGTTTTCTTTTTATTTGTTTTTAGCTTTTTATCATTGCTTTTATCCATTTAACTTTTTAAACCCTGATTGTAACACTGTAACTTTTATTATATTTTATGTTGCTTTTAAACTTTTTGATATTTCCCTGTTGCTTTTATGTTTTATGTAAAGCACTTTGAATTACCTTGTTGTTAAAATGTGCTATACAAATAAACTTGCCTTGCCTTGCCTTAAAACAGTCAGATATAACACCTGAAGTAATTATCCTATCAGGATTAGTGACAAGGATCCAATCCAGCAGGGATGAAGACCGACAATCAACTCTAGTTGGTTCCTTAATTAATTGAGTGAGATTTACACTGCCAAATAAGTTTTTTTTACGCAGAGGAGGTATGATCTAGCCAGTTGCTATTAAAATCATTTCATTTTGCCTTACAAGAGAATTAACAGTTGACAAAATACAATTTATAGAATCAGTGGGAGCAGAGGGAGGCCTGTAAACATTTAATATATGTAAATAGTTAAATTTTGATTTTTAAGAAAAATAATATTGATAAAAAGACAAATTAACTGGCTCTACATTGGGTGAGACACGTTCCGAAACTAAATTTAAAGCAACATATATAGCTACCCCAGCTCCTCTAGTGGGCCTATCAGCTCTATACAGAACATATTTCTACTTGCTCGTCTGTAATTTTACTATGTAACCATGTCTCAGAAATGGTGGTAATACTAGGTCTATAAAGTGTAACCCATGCTCTAAGAAGATCAATTTTTGAGGAAAGGCTCCTGATATTAAGGTGAATAATCTTTAACCTTTTAGCCAAATTAATGTTTATAGAAGTTGAAATAGATCAGTTAGTGAGGGTGAGGGGTAAAAGTGGTGAGAGCAACCACACAGACTAACTACAACACTAACAACAACAAACAAAAACTAACAAACAGTCCATGTCTGAGCAATATCAAACAGAACAAAACAGATGTTAAATTGATTTATTAAAAGAGCCCTCTGAGGACTTTCACAAAAGCAGAATTAAGAAATCCCAGATAACAGAAAAACCTGACTTAATGTGGTTTGTGCATCCTGCCTTTATCCGTTTCAGGAAGGCCACACAAGGACACACACGAAAGGTGGGGGTGCACCCATGACAGGTCGCCAGTCCATCACAGGGCCACACATAGACAAACAACCACTCACATTCATGCCTAAGGACAATGTTAGAGATACCAATCAACCTAGCCTGCATGTCTTTGGACGGTGGGAGGAAGCCGAAGCACCTGGAGAGAACCCACGCGGACATGAGGAGAACATGCAAACTCCACACAGAAAGGCCTAAAATGACCAACCCACAACCTTCTTGCTTTGAGGCAACAGTGCTAACCACTGCACCACCCAGATCAGATTCAATTCAAATATTATTTTATTTTTTTTTACATTTAGCTGACGCTTTTATCCAAAGCGACTTACAATTGCTATACATGTCAGAGGTCGCACGCCTCTGGAGCAACGAGGGGTTAAGTGTCTTGCTCAGGGACACAATGGTGGATGTATCACAGTGGGAATTGAACCCAGGTCTCCCACACCAAAGGCAAGCATCTTATCTATGCGCCATCACCACCCCAATTCACAATAAAAAAGGAACGCCTTGAATTCACTCTCTCTCTCTCTCTCATAAAAGATCAGATTCCATGTGACTTGGCCTGTTCACACGGTCATAAAAAGATCAGATCTGAGTCACATGAGCAAATAAATCTGATTTGGGTAACATTGGCCTGCAGTCTGAACGCATTTCAACACTATTATTAAAGCATTAAACATCAAATTGATTCACCTCATAGATAACTGAAAAATAAAAACACTTGATTTTAAAAACCACCCAAAACAAGTCAAATATTCAAGATTTATGATTAAAATTAATTTTTACAGACTGGAATGATCAGAGAAAGCTGTTTGTTAAGTTAAGTTATCATCCTAAACTTATTTCTTCCAGATTACTTGTATCTAATCATTAAAAAAGCTGAAATGAGGGTTTAACATTGTTCTTACTGACCTTTTACAGATTTGCTCGTATAGAAACTGCTTCTGCTGGTTGGAGAGAGTCTGAATAAATGGTGTTGTTGGGATTGGAGTCAAGTCATTTCATTTATAAATCACATTTATCACAACACAGTGCTGTACAGGTGACATAAAATACTATTAAATTAATGAATACCAAAAAGTGGAGTTCCATAAAAACCACAAAATAATGTAGACACAACTAAAAACTGAATTAAAATGATCACATGGCTTCATAGCTGAAAAGATGAAGCACGACTTATTTTGGAGTCTGTGTCACAGTGAACTGATCAGAGTTGAGCAAAGTCTTGTCCTCAGTACTTCAGTCCTGCTGGAAGGAATCAGCTCAACGAGCATCTCTGCAGCTTCATTTAGTTCCTCTGCTCTCACCAGCACACTTGTGGTTTTTGACATGACCGTACTGAGAGAATGTTTTATTACAAACTTTGCACCTAAATGGTTTCTCCCCAGTGTGGCTTCTCATGTGTTGATCCCATTGTCCCTGTGTTACAAATGTTTTACCACAAACTTTGCAACTAAATGGTTTCTCCCCTGTGTGGATTCTTAGGTGTACAGACAAAGCACTAGCTTGACTGAAACTTTTTTTACAAACTGAGCATGTGTAAGGTTTTTCTCCTGTATGAACTCTCAAGTGTAAGGTCAATTGTATTCTCTGTGCAAATCTTCTACCACAAACAGAACAACTGAAAGGTTTCTCCCCTGTGTGGACCATCAAGTGTTGATCCAGACTATGCTTTCGTCCAAATCTTTTCCCGCATTCAGAACAAATGAAGGGTTTCTCCCCAGTGTGAGTTCTCATGTGTATGGACAATTCGCTTTTGTCACTGCAACCTTTTTTACAAACTGAGCAGCTGAAACGTTTTCCTTCTGAATGAATTCTCCTATGCTTTGTTAAGGAGACCTTCCAGATGTATCTTTTACCACAAACGGAACAACTAAATGGTTTCTCTCCTGGTTGTCTATTGAGACCTTTGTCTTCCTGCAGCTGTCTCTTGTCGCCAAAGCTTGTTGCACATTCAGAGGTGCTACTTGATGTTTCTCCAGTATTACATTCCTGATGACGTTCAGATACTTCATTGTTTTGCAGAGGGTTTGAACCTGACTGAGGTTCCCTGGTCTCCTCCCAATCACAACTGTCATCTGAATCAGGTTCAGGGGAGTCTGACTTCTTGTCATCAGTATCTGGTTGGAAATGTCTATCTGGGTCGGAGTTCCTGGCTGGTTCTGGTCCTCCACAGTCCTCTCCATCAGCTTCTGTTTCCATCTGTTTATGAAGCTGTGAAGACTGAGGTTTCTCTTCATCATCCCCACTCTTCACAGGGACAGGAGTGAATGTAAACTTGGTGATATCAGCCTCTTCCAGCCCTAGAAGCTTGTCCCTCTCCTGACTGGTGCAGAGTTCCTCCTGTTCTTCAAAACGAAGGCGCTCAGGAGGGCCCTCCTGGTCCAGACTTGCAGGTATTCCATTATTTTGTAGACGGTTTGAACCTGACTGAGGTTCCCTTGTCACCTCCCAATCACAACTGTCATCAGTCTCAGGTTCAGAGGAGTCTGAAGTATCTGGTTGTAAAAGCCTACCTGGATCTGAGTTCCTGGCTGGTTCTGGTCCTCCACTGTCCTCTCCATCAGCTTCTGTTTCCATCTGTTCAGTTAGTCTTTGATGAAGCTGTGAGGACTGAGTTTTCTCTGGAAGCTTCTCCCTCTCCTGACTGGTCCAGAGTTCATGTTGTTCTTTAATGTGTGGGGGCTCTAGTGGGTCCTCCTGGTCCAGACTGGGAGTCCACTCCTCTTTAATGTGTGGGGGCTCTTGTGGGTCCTCTTGGTCCAGACTGGGAGTCCAATTCTGCTGCTCAAGGGGAAACTGTACTTTACTCGCCAACAGCAGCTGGACGTCTGTGGAGAATAATAAAACACATTTAGAGTAGGCTTAAGACTTTCCTCTTTGATAAAGCTTATAGTTAGGGCTGGCTCAGGTAGTCCTGAACCATCCCTTAGTTATGCTGCTATAGGCCTAGACTGCCGGGAGATTTCCCATGATGTTTCCCATAGTCTTGTGCTTTCTCGTCTCTCTCCTATCACTTCCTGCAGGTTTTCTGGCTCTGGAGCTGTGGAGTCTGGATCTGTGGTTGCGGGTCACCTGCTGCCCCCGTGTTCCTGCTCGACACCCTCTGCTGCAACGACTATTGTTACTAGTCCTATTGTTATTATAATCATTAACATTGCGATTGTTACCATTAACACTATTATAAATACCTCTACCATTTTTCATTTAGTCTATAGCAACATCGACTTCACTGTCTGTACCTCTGTGTGCATATTGTGTAGCGCTGTGAGATAACTGTTGTTGTGATTTGGCGCTATATAAATAAAACTGAATTGAATTGAATTTAAACCACGTAAATGTGTGGAGAAATGATGCACTTTGTAAAACATAATTAGAAGCACCGCCGGTTGATAAAAGTTTCTTGATAACGGATGGTGATCAAATGATCACTAGGTTTGGACATTCTTTACTCGACATGAAGAGATCTTACAGCCTATCACACAGCAGACACATATACTTCCTACAGCATTGTTAGAGCTTCTGAAAGTGGATGTCCTTTGGAAATTTCTGTCAGAAAAAGGTAACATTACATCAGTCATAAGAGAGGGGTTTGGATCTCTCCAAAGCAATGAAGTACAGATTAAAACGGTCTGCAGAATGCTGTTCGTCAGTGCCAACCAAGACAATAAACACACTAAATCTCACTCACTCATCTCAATAACCTGAAAACGTACCATTCCAGCACTCAAACTGAGAGGATCAAAGTGCAGGCCCATGTTAGTCTGCCCACAAGTTTGTCCACTGTGTTGTTGTTCTGTTGGCAGTGCAAGCAGCCTGTACCACAACGATAATCAATTGTGTAGTATTTTGAAAATTAAAAATGAACAAGGAAATAGAGTTTTAAAGTGTGGGACTCGGGAAGAAAACATTTCCCCCCCAAACTGCACTGCCTCATCTTTGCAAAGAGTGAAATACTTACTCTTACCACCTAACTATGGTCCACATCTGAGAAGAGTTTTGCCAAAAATTGTTTTTGAGTTTTCAGTTCTAAAAACAGCACAAGGTGAGGATTTACAATATCCTAATTGATTTTACAAGGCACATACTGTATCAGTGTTTAAGGCTGTCACTTTTGGTTAATTCGGCAATAAGGCTCAGAACATTGTGAGATATTGTGGTGACGAACAGACAGACATGACGATTTCATTGCCTCAAAGATAATTATAGTCAAACATTTGGATTTGCAATTATGTGTTGGAAATCAAACTTTCATCTTACTTACTTACTGTAATCAAATTGAATAGCGGACAGCCCTGATGTGTAGACTAAATGTAGTTTCTCATTGTATTAAAAATCTCACAATCTCTCAATTTCAATTTCTTAAGACTATAACTGACATCATACAGACATTTCTGTCACTTTCCTTTAATGGAAAACAATTTCTTTCTACCATGGCAGTCCGTCCAAGTCAAGTCTATGTGTGGGGAAACAGCTTATTCTAGCGTTACAGATAGCCAGTAAAAACTTGCAAGGATTATTATTCAAAAAGTGTTTTGTTTTTGTACAAATTTTTATATATTTATTATTTTGTCAAACCTTTGCCATCTTATCCGGTTTCTCTTACAGCTTCAGAATCTCAACAGTATTGAGGATCTTGAGGAGGAGGTTGTATGCTGGTGCACAATCAATGTGGGATGAACACATATGTCTTTACATCTTTTTTATAACTTTGTTATCTGCTTGTAGTCTCTCTCTCTCTCTTGCTCAAGTGCCCTACAGAGCAACTGGCATGGTGTCCCAAAGGCCAGTCTGACTGTTGAGCAATTAGAGGAGGAATATTACGGTAGTTGTAATACTTGCACATTGTGCTTATCAATTACTTTTACAGTTCGCACAGATCAATTTGAAGGGCCAAATGTGAATGAAATACCAGACCTTAAAAACAAGAAGAAAGGCATGGTTATACAAGAAATAACCAGGGAAAAAATAAGTGACCAAAGAAGTGAGCAATGAGATGAAACAGATAAAACAATGTTTAAGAAAAATGTGGAATCAAACAGGAAACCTCCTAAAATTGAGATTTATCACATTTTTGGGTGCATGTTGTGATACTGTCCTGACCAGTTTAGTGACGTCCTCCACCATGTCGTCCAGGCCTCACTTCACCACATCCCTGCTATCTGGAAATCTTCTACTCTGATAACCTGAGAAAAAATACCCATCCTAGGCTACTTGATGATTTTAGACTGGTCATGACGTCATTAGACTGGTCATTCACGCTACACACACAGATCTTTACAGATAGCCTAATAAAGTAAAATACCGTAACATATAAAATAAAACAATATTTAGGGCCGCTCAGCGGCCACTTTATTAGGTACACCCGCTCTATTGCTTGTAAACACAACTACATAATCAGCCAGTCACTTGGGAGCAACTCAATGCGTGTTTAGGCATGTAGATGTGGTCAAGACAACTTACTGAATTTCAAACTGAGCATCAGAAAGGGGAAGAAAGGGGATTTAAGTGATTTTGATCATGGCATGGTTGTTGGTGCCAGACGGGCTGGTCTGAGTATTTCAGAAACTCTGATCTGCTGGGATTTTCACGCACAACAAACAAACAAATGTCTATGGTTTACAGAGAATGGTACGAAAAAAAGAAAATATCTGGTGAGCGGCAGCTGTGTGGACGAAAATGCATTGTTGATGTCAGAGGAGAAGAAGAAGGTTTAATTCATTGGATCATGCCTTTAATTTTTCTATAAAAACATTTATTTTGTTGAGGAAAAGGGACTGAAAAAAGATTTACTAATCAAGTGTTTGTCACATTCTGACCACAAAGAAAAGTTTACTCAGGAGCAAAAATGAGCCTTTAAACTTGAAAGAAATGACATTCAATGTGATGATTATCGATATTGAATGATATGAAATCTATATCGTGGTAACATTTTTGGCCGTATGTACTCTGTTTAAATGAACCTGTGTCTCAGCAATCCATCTGAATCTGCGGTCCATTTTTTACCTTTAAAAGCTGTTTAAGCATCACTATGGGTGTTTCTCAAAACCAACAATGCAAAGAACGAACTTTTGTTCTTTGGGAGAACATTCTTGCTAGTCGTTCTTGGACTAACTTTATTCCAGCTGTCGGTGAACAGGTTAGCATAGCATAGCCCTGATCGAGCCGAACTCCATTCAGAAAACATGTATTTTAAAAGTTGTCGTCTTACTGCCTTGCTGACAGACCTGACAAAGTATGAATTCATATATCTCACAAAACGGAATCATATTATAGTTATTTCGGCATCAGTTTGATCTGTTTATTGCAATTAAATCACAGCCAAGTGTTTACTTTGTGTTCCTATAGCTGTAGTATCAGCGGGCTGTGAACACTCAAAATGTCCAGCGGACAACAACTCAAGCGAGTAAAGCGAGGCGAATATTAAATTCGCTTTCGGTGTGAACGCAGCTTTACAGGAACATTTTGCTGCACTGTGAGTACTTTTACTGTCATACTGTAAGTACATGTTGCTGATAATACTCACATACTTTTACTGAAGGAAGGTTTGAATGCAGGACTTTTACTGGCAGTGGAGTATTTTCACAGAGTGGTATTAGTACTTTTACTGCAGTAAAGGCAGTTTCCAGTGAGAATAAGCAGTAAAGTGTACAAACCTGCTCTGTGTAACCGGACTTCAGGCTTGAAAACAGCGTCCAGTAGTTTGCGTTGTCCACAAAGTTCCTCCTCGTACTCTGCTATCGTTCTTTCAAACAGCTCAAATATCTCTTCAGCAGCCGCACTTAGTCGCTGCTGGACAAAAGCTCTCAGCGTTTGGACTTTAGACATGTTTACAGCAGCTTTTCCTCCAGACACACTCCGTTACAGACACGCAGCTCACTCTGATGTCTTTCCGCTGTTTCTCACGGTGACTTCCGTCTTTGCCGTTTTTCAAAATAAAAGTATTTTATTTACAGGCTCTTTGTTAAGAACCAACAATGGTAGAAATACACAGATCCTTTACTGAAGTAAATATAGAAAAAACACAAGTAAAAAGTACAAAAGCAGCTAAATGTATTAATACCATAGACTTTATATATTAAGATAAATGCAGACAACTCTAAGTATATTTAAATAATTTAACTATCTAAATTTCTGTCGTACACTGTTACATCTGACTGCATCATATTACTCATTCACATATACTTCTTAACTTGCTGTTACTAATCTCACAACCATGTCCCTTTGCTTGAGACGGTATTGCAGTATTCAAGTACAACACTAGCTGTGGTTACTGTAATAACAACAATGATAATGATGATGATAATAATACATTTTATTAAGATAGAACGTTTTAAAACAAAGTTACAAAGTACTTTAGAGGAATGAAACAGGACTGAAACACGTCTGAGGGACTTCCAGAGCGGAGGGGCTCTGAAGAGGGGATACCTGGGAGGAAAGTCTGGCATCATACCGGGAGCGAGGCGGTGGAATAATGAACCTTTTCTCCCATCGATGGAGACTGTGAGGTCCCTGGTGAATAAGATGGACAAGCTTGCGATGCTGCCAAGGACAAACTGGCAGTATAGGGAATGTAGGGTTATGTGTTCAACTGCCAGATGCTTTCAGTGTGATCTCTAAAGAATTTAATCACACTACTCTCTGCTTCGCGTCCAAATGTTTTACTGAATGCAAATGTGAGGAATGCATTCAGCTTCGCCTCCCCCCTCTCTGCAGATCATATCACACCTATTTCTCACTCACACTTACGATGTGTAAGTTTGTTCAAGAGCAAGGTGTGTCCATGAGCTGGACACAGAGACTCTGATGAGGCCACAGACTGGGACATACTCTGTCAGCCCGATGGAGAGAATATCAACGCCATGACGGACCCACCAGGTCAGTGCGACGCTCCCCCAACAACGAGCCCTGGATCGAGGAGCTACTTAACCTTCAGGGACGGAGACAGAGAACCACTGAGGGGTGAGCAGAGGGAGCTGAAAGGGAGGCGGAACAATGTGAAGATCATCAAAGGGTTCAAGGTGAAGGGGAATCAGGCTGAGAGAGGTCTACAGACAGACTCCTTCAATACGTTCAATGGGCCTATAGGACGCTCGCTCGCCACCCACATTCTTCCTCCCTCCTCAGTGATTAGGACCAACGTTTCCCTCACAATAGACTTCAATACAGTCACACCGACACCTCACCAGGAAACATGGCCCTTTGCCTCCCCCACCCACAGACCAGACCAGAACAAACCTGCAGGGCCGGATGTTGTTGCTGACATCAAATTTAAAATGGACACACCATTTCCCAAAAACACTCAAATTGCTCAGTTTCAACATTTGATCATTTGCCTTTCTGCTACTTACAATTAAAAATGAGGTTTCAATGTTTTGCACATCATATTTTGTTTCTATTAAAAAAAGCTAAGTGAATAAATGTAACTGTACAAAAAAATCCAGCGCCTAATTGAGTGATGGAGACACACTGTTGACAATGAGAAAATGAAGACTAATGAAGCCGGAGCACCAAGCTCTGATTTACAGACCTCAAACCAGCAGTAACAAAAGCAGCTCGGTGTGATCTGTCAGCAGGAGCTGCAACCAGTTTGAAGACGTACTGCGACAGAGCAAAACTGAAATTATGAAATGATTATATTTAACGTTATAGTGGGAAAGGAAGTCGTTATCTCTTTGGAACTACTTATAGTATCGTTTGGTCTATAATAATCATTGTGTTACAATAAATCTGCAGTTTAACTCAGCTGTGCAACAGTAGGATGAAATTGTGCAGAACATTTAGATGTGAAATACTAAAAGTAAAGTGAGATGAGCTTTGGTCTTTGGGATAAGCGTGCAGACACATCAGTGGATGATACAGTCAACACGTGGCTGCACTGTATCCTGCAAAACCACGACCATCTCCACTGTTGAACCTGTTGTTCAACCTGTAGGCTCTGACTCTGTGGGAGACTGCAGGGGGTCCTGGAGTGGTTTTGATGTGGGACAACACGAGGCATTCAAATTACTTCATTACCAGAGAGTTCAGGGCGAATTAGTCCTGTTGAACTGGGTTATTTTGGGGACAGGGAGGAGGAGGATGTGAAGCAGGCTGGCACAAGGCATGTCTCCAGTGAGGTGTTGAATAATTCTGTGAACAGCTGATCAGCACGGTGCTTCAGGGTGGATGTGGAGGCCCAGGGCCCTGTTGAGGTGAAGCTGGTGGATGGGAGCAGGTTGATGGGGGATGGTGTCAGAACTGTCCATTTGGGTGTCAGAACTGTCCATTTGTTTTTAAAAGGGACAGTAGAACTCACTGTAATCGGTAATGAAGGGGGGGCGTTAGGTTTGTAGATGGTGTTCTGTCTGAGCCCCTTCCAGAAAGTAGCACCTGAGAACTGGTGCTGTAAACCTGTAGGACATTAGATCCTACATCAGCTTCGATCTGATAATTCTCACGGTTTACTTTTAAATATGCTGTATGCATTTTGTACTTGATGACCGGATGTTGTGATTCATTTAAATATGAGAACATAACTGGATTTTGTCTTTTTGAGTCACTTTTTTCATGTTGTTTGTCCGAACAACAGAATCTGATGCTGGATCAGTGTTGGTGTCACCTAAGTGTCAGACTTGCTGTTGTTTCCGTAGAGGAGTATTTCTTGAGACGGCCAGAGGACGCTGATCCTCTCAGCCAGAGCCAGCGGGACGCCCACCACTCTCTGCATGTCGCCTGACAGACACACATCAGGGCTAACGCTCTGCGGCAGCATCAAGTTTGCTTTCTTTCCCCAACTCCTCCAGCCAACACCGCAAGCCTCTTTTTTTTTTTTTTTCTTGCTTATGTGCCTTTATGCGCTTGAAAGCCTCAGCATCAGCTGCGCTCTCAGGCACGTTTGTCATTGTTGTTCGTCACCACATCTATGGCTTTCCGTTTTCTGTTTCATCAATATCAATTCATCGCTTCTGTGGTGCAGCAGCAATCGGCTGATTTTACTCAGCACTAGTGTAACTTACTCCGGCTGCTCATCACAGATGTGGTTGGTGTGCAGGCTTTCTTCTCCTTTACTATTTAGTGCAGTTTAGTGACTTGTTTAAGCTGACTCCTTACTCATTTTCCACTTCTTACGTCGTTTATTTGGAGGTTTGCGACACGCTACCAAAGAAAAATGTAGGGATCTGTCAATTCAGTTCTTCAAGATTTATTGTTCCAAAGTTACCAAAATTATTCTCAGTTGTTTACTTTTCACAAACACATCAAACAACGTTGTTTTCCACAGCTTCACAGTCTTCACTCAACTATTTCACTCCTCCTCTCTCATTTAAATACAAAAAACTCCCAAGCCGTCGTCTATCCTCTGACGAAACTACCCGTGAGGATGACCTAATTAGGATGAGGAGTGATGTGATACAATATTCTATTATTCTTATATAACAGTTATTTCAAACAAGAAAAAATAAAATAGATCACCTTGCTTGTCCATAACACAGGGCACCACCAGAAGTAAAATTTAAGACCTTTTTAATTCCACCTAGGATGATATTTAATGCCAACATCACTGCCGTATAATGGAGACTCTTTAAAAAAAAATTATTATATACGAAGTTACCTGAATTTTATAAAACATTTTATTATAATAATACTCACTTTCTTATGTAATCTAACAGGACAATGTAAATGCCAATTGCTTTAGTTATAATTCATCCTGGTCTGTTTTTGCATCTAAAGGCTGCTTGAAATAAAGTTTTATAAAGCAGCGGGGACAAGGAGTTGGGCTCCGGTTAGTTTTTTACTCGTTCAGCACATGCAGGAACCTGCAGTGTGTCTTTCAGCTCAGCTGTTTTTTCAGCGCTCGCCATAGTGTAACTTACTTGCACACCAACCCGCTTGTTGTGCTAACCTCCGCCAAATTGTCCGTATCTCTGGTCTGAGTCTACGAGCTAGCGTTAGCTTGTTAGTAGCACGTCAGCAACGTTTTGTTTTCTTTCCTGACGAACTGACAATTAGCGCCAGAGCTTGGATGCCAGAGCTTGTGCGGCGCAAACACAGTGCGTAAAGCTGAACACTGATGTAAACAATAATGTTACCTGTACTGCCGTATAATAAGTTACACCAAACAGAGTAAATTGTGAAGTCACACACACAATATATGAAATAATTACTTATGATGTTACGGCATTTATGTAATCCTACGAAAGGACAAGAAAAAAAATTCAGACCTCTGCAAACAAAATTTAACACTTTGTAAATGAAATTTAATACTTTTAAGGCCTTATTTTTAGATTCTCAAATTTAAGACTTTAAAAAAAATATTAATAATAATACCATTAAGTATTATGGCTTCATCCGGTGGCATTTTACCTAAGGTATTGAAGGAAGTACTCTATTAGTATCAGTATCTTTCTAAGTGTACTGGCTTTGGTACTGGTATCGTACATTTTTTAACTGTATTGAATGCAAGAGCAGGGTTTTCAGGGAAAGCATTACAAAATCCGAATGTGATATCAATAAGTGATGCGCCCATTGAAATAGCAAGCTCTTCATATAAGAAATAAATATAGGAAACTAATCCCATATGTCACAGTTTGGAACTAATCAGTGCGAGTCTTGCCCTCAGTACTTCAAACCCTGCTGGAAGGAATCGACTCTACAATCATCTCTGCAGCTTCATTTACTTCCACTGCTCTCACCAGCACACTTGTGCTTTTTGAGATGAGCAAGCTGAGTGAATCTTTTATCACAAA